CACAGCTCACAGCAACCTCCAACTCCTGGGCTCAAGCGAGTCTCCTGCCTCAGCCTCCCAAGTAGCTGGGACTACAGGTGCCCGCCACAACACCTAGCCATTTTTTGGTTGCAGCCATCATTGTTGTTTGGCAGGCCTGGGCTGGGGATTCGAACCCGCCACCTTAGGTGTATGTAGCTGGCGCCTTAGCTGCTTGAGCCACAGGCACCAAGCCTTTATTTACTTTTATAGTTAACATTTTGTCCATGTCTCTAAAGCTTAGTACTGGATCTTCAGAAAAATAGGATTAAAATAATAGGCTTGGTGCCCATAGCACAATGGTTACAGCACCAGCCACATACACCGAGGGAGGTGGGTTTGAACCTGGCCCAGGCCAGCTAAACAACAATGACCACTGTAACAAAAAATAGCCAGGATTTGTGGCAGGTGCCTGTAGTCCCAGCTACTTGGGAGGCTGAGGCAAGAGAATCACTTAAGTCCAAAAGTTTGAGGTTGCTGTGACACAACGGCAGTCCACCCAGGGCGACATAGTAAAACTCTGTCTCAAACAAAAAAAGAAAAACAAATAATAATAATACAAAGACATTTAGAGCTCCAAACTTCAAATAGTAACTCTGATAGTGGCAAAGGGCCATATTGTAGAAATGATTTTTTCTGCATCTTTTCTCTTTATGTGAGTCCTAAGACAGAGAGTTCTATTTACTTTATAGGTATTGGAAAATACATGCACAATATAAAGATTTGAGCAAACAAACGTTCTAGTTCTTCTAGAAACCAAAATATTAGGCTTTTAATCATATTTTGAAAATATAATACAAGTTACAAAATGAAAACATATTAATCCCCTTAAAGTGTAAAGAATAACTTAATAGTAATCTAATAAAAACAAGCACAAATTAAAGACCTAAAGACAGTTTTAAAAAAATTAACCACAATTTGGATGGGCACAGTGGCTCACGCCTATGGTCCTAGCACTCTGGGAAGCCAATGTAGGCAGACTGCTTGAATCCAGCCTGAGCAAGAACAAGACCTGGCCACTACTAAAAGTTAAAAAAATACCAGGCATCATGGTGGGCACGTGTAGTCCTAGCTTCTAGGGAAGCTGAGGCAAGTGGATTGCTCAACCCCAAGAAAGCCCAAGAGTTTGAGGTTGCTGTGAGCTATGATGATGCCATGACACTGTACTCAGGGTGACAGAGTGAAACTATGTCTCAAAAAAAAAAAAAAAAATTAACTACAATTTAAATTAAAATGTACCTGTTTATCTTTTGAGGTTGCAAAGGAATAATGGGGATCACAGTATTACACAGAGACTTGCAAAGAGGGCAAAGATATTCTCCACTCTCCAGGTCAAAAAGGTCGACATGAATGCGCTGCTGAGAGCTCAGCTGTACAGCTTCAAAATACCTGCAAAATTCCAAAGACATGGGCCCCTTTAGAAATACATACATACTTTTGCTTTAATCCAAGCAAAAAAATCTGAAATTTTTGCTCCAATAAACACCTTTAGAACACATATGGCAACATTCACAAGTTATAATCACATTGATAGATGTGGGGCAAACTGGAAAATAGATCAGGGCAGATACCAATTTGAAATAAGTTCACTAAATGGTGACTTGTCTTCTGCCTCAACAACAATGTAGACACTACTTCCCTCAGTTTCCAATGACCAACTGAAGTAGTGAGAGCAATGATAGGAAAATTATATGGGGTATTTTTGTTTTTTGGAGACAGAGTCTTACTCTGTTGCCCTCGGTAGAGTGCTGTGGTGTCACAGTTCACAGCAACCTCCAACTCTTGGGCTTAAGCCATTTTCCTGCCTCAGCCTCCCAAGTAGCTGGGACTACAGGTGCCTACCACAAAACCTAGCTATTTTTTGTTGCAGTTGTCATTGTTGTTTAGCTGGCCCAGGCCAGGTTCAAACCTGCCAGCCTCGGTGTATGTGGCTGGTGCCATAACCACTGTGCTATGGGTGCCAGGCCTATATGGGGTATTTTAATCTAATGTCAAATGGGTAAACTATATAAAAGATTTCTCAGGAATCACATTTCTAAATTTTTATATTTTTCAGAGATAGAATACCTCTTGTCCTATTCTATCTCAACGGTACTTTTCACTGTATGTTTTGAAGAGTATGAGATTTTTTATAAAAATTACTGCTCCTTTTACATGAACACTGATAGTGAGTGACTGAGTAATTTGTGGAGAGCAAGCACAAAGGTACAGTGAAATATTATGTTGATAACTTTACACATCACTTTCTAAGGTTGATAATAATTAGTACCATGCAAACAGAATTAGTAATTAAACTGCTTCAATTATCAAATAAGGAAAGAAGACATGAAAAAACATGCCTTTTTGTGGCCTTGAATGAACTTCAATGTTCCTAGTCTCTTTCAAGAACATGTCAGAAGGACAACTTACTTCTGCCAGCACACTGCATGCATTACATGACCACAGCTTCCTGTATAAGTTCCATATGCCAAATCTGGATCCATGAAAAGTGGGTCCAGGGTTTCTGGTACAGGAAGACAAAAAGTAAGAGATATATAGTCATCTCTTCCTACGTTATAAAGGGGGTGGGGGGGAGAGAGGTAGGTTATTAGGTCCATAGTTTAATCATGAACTTTCTTAGTAATGGTCAAGAAAAATGTCACATTACAGCAGGATATTCTTTATAGTAATAAAACAGAGAAAAGAATAAAACAGACTATCAGATATGATTCTAAAATTAGTAATGATTAATGAAACTCTGATTTACATTTTAATTTTGAACATTAGGTTTAAACTACATTATCTGGTTGTTAAAGTGATTTTCTACATTTCAAACATAATTTGCTTTTATAATTTTACTTGACTGGATAATAATTTAAGGGGATATTTAGAAGAATTGACCTAGGGGGGAAAAGCATGGATTACAGATTAAAAATTCTGGTTTCATCACTTAAAACTCTTGACCTCAGGCAGGTTACTTGACTTCTCAGTGCCTCAGTTCCCTCATCTGTAAAATGGAACCATTTTGATTTAATTCATAGGGCTGCTGTGAGGATAAAGAAGTAATTACACATAAAGCACTTAACAAGTGCCTGATACTGATTAATTACTGATAAGTAATTAATAAATGTCAGCCTTTACTATTATTTCAAAGGTACTTTAAAAATAAAGCAGCTAATTCCTGATGTGATATAAATGAAATATATTTCCGAATTAGCATTCTTGCCAAGAAAATGCTTAACATGAACCTAATCATGAAGTAACAATCAGACAAATTTATAATATGAGACTTTATACAAAACAATTAGCCTGAACTCTTAAAAAAAGTCTACTTATGGAAGACATTTTGAGAATAGACGGGGAAATGTGAATTTTATATTAGATGATATTTCTGAACTCTTACTTTCTTAAATATAATAATGGCATGGTAGATTTTTAACAGATTAACCTTAGTTTTAGAAAATCCATGTGGAAATATTTAGGGATGAGATAGCATGATTCCTGCAACCTATTTTCAAATGGATCAGAAAAAAAGAAGAAAGAAACAAAAACAAAAAACAGAGATAAAAGGCAAACACCTAGACAGAATGAGCAATGTGGCCAGTGCTAATAAAAAGTGAAAAATAAAAAACAAAAAAGCAGGGTGGCACCTGTGTCTCAAAGGACTAGGGTGCCAGCCCCATATATGGGAGGTGGCGGGTTCAAACCTGGCCCTGGCCAAAAACTGCAAAAACAAAAAAAGCAAAGTAGCCAACATAGCCTGTAAAAACCTAGAGTCATTTTGCATATGGGTAAACTGTAGTCTGAACAAATAAAACTAAATACAACCTCACTCCCAAACTTCGCTCAAAAGAATATTTATTAAACAACACATACCCCCTGAGAGTTCTACAGGCTTTCCCCTGTGCTGGGTTAAGGCAGTAGATTTCTGGACACAGGCTGATAGGACCATGGCATTATTTTCTATTTTCACCTCTTGTTCTTCTTGGCAGAGGATGCAGGTCAGCACTTCTTTTTCAGTAACAGATGGACCCCGTTTAGGACCCAAAGCAATTCTAGAGTAGTCACTGACTGCTGGGGTGCTAGCAAAAGAAACAACCAGAAATGAGGACACACATTTTGGTCCCTTGTCTCTATATTTTGGTATATTTTAAATAGCCATAAGCAAGAAACTTAAGAATAAAAATCTTTAAAAATTGATAATTTAGCAATATTAACTTTTAAAAGCTTCCCCTCTGACCTTCCTGGCTTTTATCAGTTATGTGCTTATTATAAAATACAAGTGCTGCTAAAAGTAAAAAAAAAAAAAAGACCATAAAATAGAATGTATACATAATATTTAATTTACTGTACCAACAAGCTTATTCGTTTTTTTTAATATAAAATACATGCTTATTGAAGAAATTTAGCATTATATTTCTGCAACCTAGAGACAATCACTAGTAACCTTAAGCATTTCCTTCTAGTCTGCCTTCTATTTATAATATCCTTCTTTACATAAATAAGATCATATTATATAGTACATATAAAGACTTGCATTCTTCTTTGTTCACTTATAACTTTGTTATTTTCTAATGTCATAAAAATTTCACCAAAAACATTTTTAAATAGCTGCATAGTACTCTTGGTATATGTACCACACTAGTTTTATTCATTCCCTCTCATTGGGCATTCAGGTTTCTATTTTATTTTGGTAGCTATTAAAACTAAAAAAATGTACATACCTTAATGATTTAGCAATTCCTAGGACCAACTCTGATTTGTTAAAGTTTGGCAATTTTCAGGATCTACTCTTAGAGATTTGGCAAATCTTAGGACCAACTCTGATTTGTTAAAGTTTGGCAATTTTCAGGATCTACTCTTAGAGATTTGGCAAATCTTAGTAGGATCTACTGATGTGTGCAATAGACTGTATACATAATAGTAAATATTCATAATGTGCTGATTGTGAAGCTAGGGACTGTCTCAAATACCTAACAATACATTTATTCACTTAATCCTTATAATAATAAGAGGTTCATATTTTTATTACCTCCCTCTTTCAGATGAAGAAATTGAGGCCTAGAGAAAATGAAGGACTTATTCAATGACTCATCACTAGTAAGTAACAGAGGCAGATAATCTGGCCTCACAGGCCATGCTATGAGCTACTCTGCAATACTGCCTCCCTATGCAAGAAGCTCCCTGAAATATGGTGCATTATTAAATAAACTGGAAATAACTTAAATGTTTCTCATCAATTTAAATGAACTTACAGAAGACTACATAGGGTTCTGTTAAAAGGTGGGTTTCAGCTAGGTCATACCACCTCTCACGAGGCATCTGACAAATACATGGAGGAGGTTTACTTTTTGGTTGTTGTAAGGACTAGTAGGCATGGATGCTAAATGTTCCGCAATTCATGGGACAATAGTGCATGAAAGACTCACTGCCCCAAATGTCAAGACTGAGGAACACCGAGCTCACTTTGCATGTAAGAACATATATATATTTAAAAAAAAAAAAAAGAACATATATAAATCTCCAAGACATACTATAGGGTAAAAATGAGTAGCTACAGAATAATACATAATTATCATTTATGCAAATAAAACACAAGGCTGAATGACACAATACAATTTCTGTGATTATATATTATTTGTATGTACTAGAATAGTATAAATTCCGATAAGATATACATAAAACTTATCAACAGACAACCTTTTGAGGAAGAATTGAAAGATGTCCAGGATTCAAGTTGGTGCTCAGATGGAACTTCAGCTTTATCTCTAACAACTGATTTTTATTTATTTCTATTTTTTTTTTAGCAATGGGTCTCACTCTATTGCCTAGGCTGGAGTACAGTGGTATAATCATAGCTCTCATTGCAGTCTTGAAGTCCTGGGTTCAAGTGATCCTCCCACTGCAACCTCCCAAATAGCCAGATTACTGGTACATGCTGCCAGGCCCAGTTAATTTTCTTATTTTTTATAAAAATAGGGGTCCTGATATGTTGCCCAGGCTGGTCTTGAATTTCTGGGCTCACGTGTTCCTGTCACCTCGGCCTCTCAAAGTAGTGAGATCACAGACAACATTCAATTTTTTTTCCTTTTTTTATTTGAGACAGAATTTGACTCTGTCATCCTGGGTAAGAGTGCCATAGCATCATATCTCACAGCAACCTTAAATTCTTGGGCTCAAGCCATCCTCTTGCCTCAGCCTTCTGAGTAGCTGAGACTATAGGCGCCAGCCACAATACCCAGACAGTTTTCCTATTTTTAGTACAGATAGGGTCTTGCTCTTGCTCATGCTGGCCTTGAACTCCTAAGCCTCCCACAGTGCTAAGATTACAGGCATGAGCCACTGTTCCCAGATGACATTCAATTTTTTTTATTTTGTAGAGACAGAGTCTCACTTTATCACCCTCAGTAGAGTGCCATGGCGTCACACAGCTCACAGCAACCTCCAACTCCTGGGCCCAGGCAATTCTCCTGCCTCAGCATCTCGAGTAGCTGGGACTACAGGCACCCACCAGAATGCCTGGCTATTTTTGCAGTTTGGCTGGGGCCAGGTTTGAACCCACCACCCTTGGTATCTGGGGCCAGCGCTCTACCCACAGGCACCACCCTAAACAGAAAATATAGTAACATAACATAATTAGTGGGCACCTGTAGTCCCAGCTACTCAGGTGTTAAAATGCATAACAGGCGATGACAATCATATGAGAAGATCTTCAACTAACTAGCAGTCAGGAAAATTCAATCAGATTGATATAAATTTCTACTTTTGATAATATCAAATATTTTCAAGTACCAATATTTAGGTACTGGTAAGAAGAAAGTAAATGGATATCCTTATACCTTGTTGGGAAAAGAAATTGGTAAAAACATTTTAGAGAGCAACATAGCTACATCTATTAAAATTCTGGGCTTGGCGCCCATAGCACAGTGGTTATGGCGCCAGCCACATACACCAAGGCTAGAGGGTTTAAACCCAGCCTGGGCCAGCTAAACAAGAATGATGACAACTGCAACAAAAAATAGCCACATGTTGTGGGGGGCGCCTATAGTCCCAGCTACCTAGGAGGTTGAGGCAAGAGAATCGCTTAAGCCCAAGAGTTGGAGGTTGCTGTGAGCTGTGACACCATGGTATTCTGCCAAGGGTGACATAGTGAGACTTTGTCTCAAAAAAATAAATAAACAAAATAACATTCTGACCCAGCCCCTCTCAATTATTAGATTCCAACCTTGAGAAGTACTTACACAATTACATAAAAAGGCACATATAAAATGGTGCTTACAAATTGTGCTAAGGGAAAACTGAAAGCTGCCTAAATGTGCAAAATCAGATAAATAAAATACTGTATATCCACACCACGAAAGACTGCACAACAGACAATGATGTATTACCTACACTATAGATCTATACATACTGATACAAAAAGATTTATGAGATGTTAAAAAACCAAGCTGCAGTGGTTCTGTGCCCATACCACAGTGGTTATAGCACTGGCCACACGCACCGAGGCAGGCGGGTTCGAACACAGCCGGGGACAGCTAAATAACAACTGCAACAAAAAAACAGCTGGGTGTTGTGACAGGTGCCTGTAGTCCCAGCTACTTGGGAGGCTGAGGCAAGAGAATGGCTTAAGCAAAGAGTTGGAGGTTGCTGTGAGTTGTGACACCACAGCACTCTACCGACAGGAACAGAGTGAGACTTTGTCTCAAATAAATAAATAAAACTACTCAGGCATACAAAGTAAAACGAGATGATTCTATTTTTGTTGTTTCTACTGTCCCATCTTTTTACGCATAAAGGTTCTTAATGTAACTTTGTGCGCTTGAACCATTTAGCAATATAAAATTACATTCAATAAATACCCTAGAGCTTTCACTTTGAGCTTCCTAGCTTAGAAATAGTTTAATTTATGTTACTATAAAATATATTTTAGAGAAGCATGATTTAAAGTGAATATTTAACTTTTCCTCCAAAAACTGAGCTGCTAATTTTTGGTTTTACTTTATTTTACCTCTCTTCCTCCATAATGGAATCTTCTTTCCCAGACATTTCTGATGTATTGTCATACATGAGTTTATGAGTTTCAATGAAGTTTTTCTGTAAGGCAGACATCTGAGCCATGATCTTCTGGCGATGTAGCCTGGCAGCTTCAGCTTTTCTTTTCCGTTCTGCTTTTTCTTTATCATGAGTAATCTGGGTATTAAGAAATCCCAAAATTAGGTTAAGATTAATTATTTAAAAAATGTACATGTATTCAGTTGGCAAAATTTCCTAAGAGTCTGAAAGACTTGAAAGCTTTTCTTTTCCATTCTGCTTTTCTTTATCATGAATAATCTGGGTATTAAGAAATCCCAAAATTAGGTAAGATTATTTTAAAAATGTACATGTATTCAGTTGGCAAAATTTCCTAAGAGCCTGAAGGACTTGATGACCCCTTAAAACCTAGATTCAACTTAATGCTTCAAAATTCCAAGTTCTATCATATCATACAACTAATTGTTCTTTTAGTTATTTTTGATAGTTTAATGTAAAAGTAAGTATCCAATAAACCAGTGGTTCTCGACCCACAGGAACCGTATTAAAGGGCCATGGCATTAGGAAGGTTGAGAACCACTGCAATAAATAGTCTTTTATGTTCAAGGTAGATACATTAAGAATAGAGGCTGGGCACGGTGGCTCACACCTGTAATCCCAGCACTCTGGGAGGCCAAGGCGGACGGACTGCTTGAGCTCACGAGTTCAAGAACAGCCTGAGCCAGAGCAAGGCTCCATCTCTAATAAAAATAGCCAGGTATTGTGGCAGGCGCCTATAGTCCCAGCTACTCGGGAGACTGAGACAAGAGAATTGCTTGAGCCCTGGAGTCTGAGGTTGCTGTGAGCTATGACTTCACTGTACTCTACCAGGAGTGACAAAGTGAGACTCTGTCTCCAAAAAAAATAGAAACATAAAATTTTAAGATCATTTGTCAATCACTTAATCACTAACATTTAGTCAATCTAACACAACCTGATGATGTCTAACAGCTGCTTATAGTATATGCACTAAGATTGTGAACTTTTAACAATATTACAGAGATATATTTGGTATTTGTTTATTTTCTATTTTAACTTAAGTACCATGGGTTTTTCTTTTAGGAAGGATGGCTAATAACCAAAAGTAGGCCAGGGGTAGTAGCTCAGGCCAGTGATCCAATACTTTGAGAGGCTAAGAAAAAAGAATTGCTTAGGCATTTAAGACCAGCCTAGACAACACAGGGAGATCCTGTCTCTACTTAGCTTTCTTAGTAAACAAATAATGTGGGCATGGTGGTACACACTTAAAGTTCCAGCTACTTGGGAGGCTGAAGGTAGAGGATTACTTGAGCCCAGTAATTCAAGGTTACACTAAGCTATGATCATGCCAGTGCATTCCAGGATGGGTGGCAGATATTTCTTAAAAAAATTAAAAAAAAACCCACATAAGTAATAATATTCTAGTACTCTCAATATTAGAATCATCAAAACCTGATTTACTATCTCACAGAAATCAATAACTTAAATATTACTACATTTCACTAAATCTAAGGTGTACCATTACGCCATTATAGTTCCCTAATTAAAGAAGGTTGGTGATTATAAGGAGCCACTGACTGTGAAACATACCCCAATTTCAGACATTAAAATATTTTAAAAATTAATAAAATGTGGTATTTCTTTTTTTCTTTTTTCTGAGACAGAGTCTCACTCTATCACCCTGGGTAAAGTACCAGGGTGGCATCATAGCTTACAGCAACCTCAAACTCTTGGGCTCAAGTGATCCTCTTGCCTTAGCCTCCCAAGTGGCTAGGACTACAGGCAGCCACCACAATACCAGGCTCTTTTTTTCTATTTTTAGTAGAGATAGGGTTCTTGCTCTTACTCAGGCTGATCTGGAACTTCTGAGTTCAAGCAATCCACTTGCCTTGGCCTCTCATAGTGCTATGATTCTAAGTGTGAGCCACTGCACCCAGCCAAAATGTGGTATTTGTAACAGAGCTCCGCTATACATCAATTTCTTTTGCTTTTGTAAAATACAAAAACTATACTGAATTATTATCTGTCAAAACCCATTAATCCCTATAGTATGAAAGCATTAAAAAAAAAAAAAGATGGATAGATCCCATATACTTCATAATAAAAAGGTTCTTCCTAACAAAAAGCATTAGCTTAGACCTGTAAAGTTCAAAGACAGAGATGAATATTATCATTACTGCAGTATTATTACCTCATCATTCTTAATAGAATCCGATCCTGAAGTAGTTGCTACCATTAAACAAGATTTTTCTCTTAACCGCTTCACTGTGTCAAACATCTGTGAAAAAGAGGTGAAATGTTAAAAGATTTAGACTTATCAGAAACAGAAAAATTCACTAATCTGATTTTGCCATCGTATCTCAAAAAATCTTTGACTTAAAGTACTTCAATATATTGGGAGATAAAAAGTGACTCTCTGAAAAACACCTCTCCTGCTTGATGAGCAATCCAGCAGAGGAAGTGAACAATGGGAGCAAATCAGCTGGGTCAGTATGCAGCTATTAGCATGCCTCTGTTTGCTTTAGAGAGATTTGCCAGGAAAATGGTATTTTTTTTTCCTGAGACAGAGTCTCATTTTCTTGCCCTGAGTAGAGTGCCATGGTGTCAAAGTTCACAGCAAACTCAAACTCTTGGGCTCAAGTGATCCTCTTGCTTCAGCCTCCCAAGTAGCTAGGACTATAAGCTCCTGACACAATGCCCAGCTATTTTTTTTTTTTTTTTTTTGCAGTTTTTGGCCGGGGCTGGGTTTGAATACACCACCTCCGGTATATGGGGCCAGCGCCCTACCCGTCTGAGCCACAGGCGCTGCCTGATGACCAGCTATTTTTAGAGGCAGGGTCTTGCTCTTGCTCAGGTTGGTCTTGACCTCCTAAGCTCAAGCAATCCACCCACCCTGGCCTCCGAGAGTGCTAGGATTACAGGCATAAGCGACCATGAGCCTTTAGGAAAATAATTTTTAAAAAAATTTTTAAGTAACATTTTTAATTGAAAGATACATAAAGACAAACATACAAAATGGAAAGTTCCTCTTCTCCCTGACTTCAGCCCCCCCCCAAGCAACAACCAAAACAAAGATTATCAATGTATCTATCCAGCAAAAGTCTGTCAGAATAACATATTTCTATCTGTTTTTTGTTTCTAGTCTCCTTTTTTTAACTTAATCATTTATCTTTGCAGATATTTCCATAAAAGCCTATACAGACCTCCATCATTCTTTTTTTTTTTTTTTAAGTTTTGGGCTGGGGCTGGGTTTGAACCTCTGGCATATAGGGCCAGCGCCCTACTCCTTTGAGTCACAGGCCTCTATTATTCTTATCAACAAATGTCAGGGTTTCAGCAATAGGACAGTGTATTACGTCTGTTTTTTTTGTTTTTTGTTTTTGAGACAGAGCCTCAAGCTGTCCCCCAGGTAGAGTGCCATGGCATCACAGCTCACAGCAACCTCTAGCTCCTGGGCTTAAGTGATTCTCTTGCCTCGGCCTCCCAAGTAGCTGGGACTACAGGTGCCCACCACAACACCCAGCTATTTTTTGGCTGTAGTCGTCATTGTTGTTTGGCAGACCTGGGCTAGATTTGAACCGGCCAGCTGTGGTGTATGTGGCTGGCGCCTTAGCCGCTTGAGCCTTAAGTTTGTATTAAATCTGTCAAGTGTAGAACATAAATGTCTTAACACAATAATCAAGTAAATGAGGCAAAAGCTATGTTGATTGGTTGGATGTAACCACATCAGACTGTATAAAAAAAAAATCAACACATTGTACCCCACATATGCATAAATGTATTCATGATCTATGTGTATTTGACTTAATTAAAAAAAAAAGTTTGTATTTCAAAGGAGCCTTGGTCTATAAAGAAAAACTTCCCTCAATACTTAACAATATAGCCTTAACTTAAGCACCTGAGTAAATGAGCTCATGTCTTTACAAGTACATACTTGTGCTTTTCATATTTTTTTTTTCATTTATTTTGGTTAAAAGCTTTGGTATTCTAATAGGAACTGAATTTTCAGAAATAGATCTCTAATTTTTAACATTATGTCTTTACGACTAAATGAAAGCTTAATTAACTTTCTTAATAAAGGTAGAATAGTGACCTTTTTGTTTGCTTTGACTTTTAAAATAATTATATTGATAAACACAATACCAAAAATTCATGAAATCTACTTCAAGAGAAATAATAACACCATTATCTTACGGTTACATATCCTATTACATCAAGTTTGCTTAAGGAATGTTTCTAATTAAGTAGTAAAAAGGACTGACCTCTTATAAAATACAAACCTGTATACAGATTAATAATTGATATTAAAACATCTAGCTGAACACATCAGAATACTTTAATGAATATAATGAGCTCTATAGCTCTTGCTTCATGTTACCATGTGGAGGCTACCCATTAAAGGGTACATACCATGTGGAGGAGTACCCATTAAAGGGTGCATACCACGTGGAGGGGTACCCATTAAAGGGTACATACCACGTGGAGGGTACCCATTAAAGGGTGCATACCACATGGAGGGGTACCCATTAAAGGGTGCATACCACGTGGAGGGGTACCCATTAAAGGGTGCATACCACGTGGAGGGTACCCATTAAAGGGTGCATACCACGTGGAGGGTACCCGTTAAAGGGTGCATACCACGTGGAGGGTACCCGTTAAAGGGCGCATACCACGTGGAGGGTACCCATTAAAGGGTACATACCACGTGGAGGGGTACCCGTTAAAGGGTGCATACCACGTGGAGGGTACCCATTCAAGGGTGCATACCACGTGGAGGGTACCCATTCAAGGGTGCATACCACGTGGAGGGTACCCATTCAAGGGTACATACCACGTGGAGGGGTACCCATTAAAGGGTACATTCATACCCTTTCTCTCCCCTCCTTATTCACTTATTGCTCCCTAAAGGCACTCAAATAGTTCAAGGACCAAATCCAGAAGTTTCTGTCAGCAATACCATAGATACTACCTTCAACATATACCTTAACCAGTTTCTCACCATTTGCATCTTAGCCTAGGTCATGCTTATTTCTCACTAAGATTACTGCAGTAGTCTCCAAAAGGCTGCCCTGCTTTTATGCTTATTCCCTGTGATCCATTTACTCCACAACAGTCAAAATGACCTGGTATAAATACAGATCAGATTATGTTACTTAAAATCTGGCTGGGTGCAGCGGCTCATGCCTGTAATCCTAGCACTCTAGGAGGCCAAGGCAGGAGAGTCACTTTAAGTTAGGACCAGCCTGAGCAAGACTGAGACCCCATCTTTACTAAAAATAGAAAAATTTGCTGGGTATTACAGCATGCCTCAAGTCCTACCTGTTCAGGAGCATGAGGCAGGAGGATCGTTTGAGCCCAGGAGTTTGAGGCTGCTGTGAACTAGGCTGACACCATGGCACTCTAGCATGGGTTATAGAGTTAACTGTCACAAAAACAAACCCTTCAACAGATTCTCGTTGTCCTCAAAAATAATATCTACTACTTTCTTTACTCTGATCTTTAAAGTCCTACTTTATCTGGCCCCTGGCTGCCCCTCTGACCTCACTGCCTGTGTTTCTCTCTCTCCTCCCTAGTATGTTCCTGTCATACTGGCCTTCTAGCCATGTTAGAGCTTTTGTACTGCTGTTCCCTCTTGTAGAGTCTTAGAAGATTGACTCTATGTCACTCAGGCCTCAGATCCAATGTCACCTTCTGAAAGTGGCCTACTCTAATTACCCAAAGGAAACCTCTACTCATCTATTGAATTGCTCTGATACTTTATTTATTGCCTGCACCTCAATTAGGGTATATGCTTCATGATAGCAAGCACCCTGTCTGTCTTGTTTAGAGTCTAGAAGTGACCACGGTATGTAGAAAGTATAAAGTATGTGTTGAGTAAATAATGACACAAATGAATAAATCTTTATTTTTTTAAAACTCTGTTAAAACATAGAAAGAAGAAAATGACTAATATGAAAAAATGAGCGATCATGAAAATCAATAGTAAATGACTTTACAATTAAAGAATATAGTGGTTAATTTCAGAGGCAAGATAGGATTCTTATTGTACTCTATAAGGGGGGAGAGGCTGTCAGGAACTGACCCCACCAATGTTTTGACTTGTGTGTTCTGTTGTCCTGCATAAACAAGTACACAAAACAAAACAGTGGTGGGGTCAGTTCCTGACCACTCCCTTTGGGATGTGATTGTTCAAATGATATAATCAATTTACTTTTCTGGTTTACCTGAAGTATCCATGTTATCATGTCCTTCTGGCCTTCTAACTGGGGAATTCCCTTGAGTTTTTCCAACAGTATTTGTATATTCTGGGTATTCGTGGCTGAACTTCCCAATCCTTTTTATAAAACACAAAATTACACATCATGAATAAAAATACGGTCATCCCTTGGTATCCATGGGGAATTGGCACCAGAACTCCTGTGGATACCAAAATCCATGAATGCTCAAATCCTTTATATAAAATGGTGAAGTATTTGCATAATCTATACACATCCTCCTGTATACTTTAAATCATCTCTAGATTACTTATCAATGCAAATGATATGTAAATGGTTGTCATCCAGTATCGAATAGGAAATAAAAACAAGGAAAACAGTCTGTACATGTTCAATATAGATACAACCACCCTGCCCTGCACCCCTACTCTGAATAATTTGGATCTGTGATTGTTTGAATGCCTGGATGTGAAACCCACAGATACGGAGGGCCAACTGTACTTTCATAATTATGTGCAAATTATAATTTTTAGTTATTATTCATATAACCAACATTGGCTGATCAATCCTTAACTATGTTAAATTTTCAATAGAAGACCTACAATTACATGAATATTGAAGTACTGAGTTACAATCATATGAAGTACTAAGTTAAAAAATGATATATAGACTCGGCACCTGTAGCACAGTGGTTGGGGCACCAGCCACATACACTGAGGCTGGCAGGTTCCAACCCCGCCCCGGACAACTAAACAACAACAACTGCAACAACAACAACAACAACAAAAATAGCCGGGCATTGTGGCAGGTGCCTATAGTCCTAGCTTGGGAGGCTGAGGCAGAAGAATCACTTAAGCGCAAGAGTTTGAGGTTGCTGTGAGCTGTGATGCCATATAGCACTCTACTGAGGGCGACATAGTGGGACTGTCTCCAAAAAAAAATGTGTGTATATATATATAAGAAAACTTGAATTACTTCAAGTCTCTCTGTTGTGCCTTCCACAGGCACAGCTAAACAAAAGCTTAATGACCCATTTGGCCTCTACTCCATTTGGCTCAACGACTAAGGAAAAATGCTTAATAAGAAAACTGCCAAAAATGTTCAAGAGGGAGATGTTATATCGATAAACCAATCTATATACTATGTAAATAGAAAATGAGGTATTTTCTTCCTGCCTATTGATTTTATAATTTATGTCACTGAAGTATGTTTTGAAAAAACTATCTTAATCAGGTAACATTTAATAGAAATCTAATTTATATCTATTCTTTCTTCCAAGTTGAAAACAATGCAAAATGAAAATGTTTTCATTTAGACTTCTATAATCATTTTAAATTCTAAAACACCAATATCTTCCACAGATGGGTTGTATGAATATTACGGTTGATGTAGCAGAAAATATTTGGTTATACTGAAATGATGAAAGAAAGTAAAAAACTACCTATGTATGCAACCAAAAAATTAAAAAAAGTGAGGAATGGGGAGTAAAGCAGTAAAAAGACTGCATCAAGGCTTAAAAAATACCTTCATATATTAAAACACCAGTGAAAAACTAATGATGCTAGGAAGAGACTTAAATAATTTCAGAGTTTTCTACATTTTAAGAACTGACAGATAAAAACTCTTATTAAGATCTAATTGGTAATTAGCTAGAACTGTGTTGAAAAGTGATACTTAAACATACTTGAAGCCTTATAATAAAAGTCGAATGTCACTTCCTCTTCAGGAATTTTTTGAAGCTGTTGCTTCTCTTCTAGTAAACCCAGTGCCAGAATATGAAATGCCTGCAGGAGGAAAATAAGAGAAGATCTTTAAAACAAAAGTTCTTCGGGTAAAAATGTTTTTTATTTTGAGACAGTCTCATGCTATCACCCTGGGTAGAGTGCCATACGGTCATAGCTCACAGCAACCTCAACCTCTTGGGCTTAAGCAATTCTCTTGCCTCAGCCTTCCAAGTAGCTGGGATTATAGACGCCCGCCACAATGCCCAGTTTTTTTTTTTTTTTTTTTTGGTTGTAGTTATCATTGTTGTTTGGTGGGGCCTGGGCAGGATTCAAACCCGCCAGCTCTAGTGTAAGTGGCTGGTGCCCTAGCCACTTAACTATGCACCAAGCTGTAAAAAAAAAAAAATTTTTTTTTTTTTTGCAGTTTTTGGCTAGGGCTGGGTTTGAACCCACCACCTCCAGCATATGGGGTCAGGGCCCTACCCCTTTGAGCCACAGGAGCCACCCCCGTAAAAATGTTTTAAATGAAGTATAAAAATAAGCAACCTGACTTGTCGCCTGTAGTTCAGTGGTTAGGGCACTGGCCATGTACACCAGAGCTGGCAGTTATGAACCCAGCCTGGGCCTGCTAAACAACAATGGCAACAACAAAAAAGTAGCCCAGCGTTGTGGTGGGTACCTATAGTCTCAGTTACTTGGGAGGCTAAGGCAAGAGAATTGCTTAAGCCAGTGGTTCTCAATCTGTGGGTCGCGACCCACAGGAACTGTATTAAAGGGCTGAGGCATTAGGAATCATATTAAGTAATTTACCTATAACAGTTACACTTATACCCACTTTATAATGAGAAAATAATATTTTGCTAAGTAGGAAGTAGTAGAACTCAGAACTTGAGAACCACTGGCATAAGCCCAAGAGTTGAAGGTTGCTGTGAGCTGTGATACTGTAGCACTCTACCAAGGGCGACATAGTAAAACTGTCTCAAAAAAAAAAGTGACCTGATAGATGAAAAACACATAAAGTTTACAAATAAGCAGTTCTTGGAAAGAGAAATGATGAATACACATATGAAAAATGTTCATCCTTGCTTAAAATTTGAAAAATTTGAGTTTAAATATGATCATCCTATTTTTCACCTATGAGAGTGGCAAAAGTTTTATAGTTCAGTAAAACAGAGCTGGCAACGGTGTTAAGAAGCAGGCAATTTTGACCACACTGGTTATGGAAAGTAAACCGGTGTAACATTTTTTGGAGATCAATTCAAAAATACCTATCAAAAATGTAAACGTAGAAGCCTAGTGTTAGAAATAAGTATGACAGACATATTCTTTCAAGTTTGCAAAAAATATTTGTATAAGGATGTTCATTTTAGTGTTTTTTGTTACAGCAAAGACAACCCGCATCTCTAACAGGAAACTAGTTAAATACATTTTAGCATATCCAGACAATGCAGTATGCACTGTCAAGAATGAGGCAGACTTGTATGTGTTAATGTGGAATGAATTCTACAACATACAAAATTTTTACCAGTGCTTATCTCCTATGTAGGAGACAGGAATAGAAGTCTTAACTTTATTTCAAATATGTCTCTAAGATTTGAAACTTAAAGCTGCATGTATTTATGACTATTATAACAAAACTTGAGATGTGCATACAGCATGACAGCATGTAGAGACTGCAGACCAATAATCATACCCAAATAAAAAAAGGAAATGGAGTTAGGCAGGTACTAAATAAATATCCAGTTATAGCTACCACAAAACGGTATAATTAAGTAATTTACCTATAACAGTTATAAAGAAAAAATAGCTACTTCCACTTGAGCTAATTCTAACTCTATGAATAATTTACACTTATACTCACTTTATAATGAGAAAATAATATTTTGCTAAGTAGGAAGTAGTAGAACTCAGAACTCAAGCCTAGATCTGTCTTCAAATCTTTATTATACTGCCTCCTTATAATATTAATAAATGTAAATTTAAAAATATAAAAAAAACACAATGCAATGATTACATGCCAATATATTATTAGCATGAGTAAGGCTTTTTTTTTATTTTTGAAGAGTTTATTAAACAGTAATGATTCTAAAGAATAAAGATGCTATAGGAGGATGTATCACTCAGGAAATCTGTGCCATGCATGCTATTTTAATGACCTCTAGGTCTAACCAAAGTGCTATACATGTAGTTCTGATGGAAGTCAGACCAGAGATCTTCTTACATCTGTAAAAACTCTAGGACTCAACACAGAGAATACATTTCAAGTAAACATACCATTTGGAGCATCCCTTCAGTCCACAAGTTAGAATCTGTATCTACTGCCCGCTCAAATATGGTCCTGAGAATGTACATCATGATATCACAGTTGAGGAGGTTAACCACTTTGCTGAAAGCAGGGCAGAATTCAGGAGGTGGTGGTGGTGGCAATGCTATAAGGGGTGGAGGATGAACAAGAAAGGAGAAAAACAGGTACATTTTTATTTGGGTTAACCTATGTACTAAATTGCAAATGTCAAAAATAATAGTTTACATACAAAACAATACATGTGATTTTTTTACTACCCTTGAAGTACTGAAAATACCAATATTAGTTTTAATAGCCTTAAAGTATTGAAAATATAAATGTAAGTTACTATGTCAGTCCCCCCAAATAAACTCCATTTGCTATCAATTTAAGATTCTATCACTGCTAATCCCTACTGCAACTTAATATATGAACAAAAAACAAAAGGCTCTTTCCACTTCCTCTGTCTACTGTCAAAAATTAATGAAAACAAAATCAAAATGCTTTACTAACACAAAACCACAGAAAATAGTCAAAATTAGTCAGTTCAGAATCTCGTTTTACCTTCATCTTTGTTTTCTTGTTTTCTCCTTTTCTTCTGTGTATGTTCTGCCTATTAAAAAAAAAACCCTACCATTAAATATATGCTTTGCAAGCATAAAACAAACAAAATATTTTAAAGCAGGCAGGAAAGACTCAACCACCCATTAAAATGTTTTATATACTGAAACATGTATTCAGAATGCTTCCTTGTCCTAGAAACAAAATGGCCATCCTAGAAAAAGCTCCTGCAAAATAGATGAGGAACATCCTTCATCAATAACTTAGTCCCCATTCTTTTAAGTCAAAATATTTACCCAGTGCCTATTATGTACAACGGGCTGCAAATTATTCACTTTGTAAGGACAAAGCCAGACACCATCCTCAGTGATCATACTTAACATTATCCTTCATAGGAGGAACAGATATTATGTGCCTGTTGATGTGATCCAATCTATCTATCACCTATATGTACTCTTGCCAAAAAGTGCGTAACTTTTGAGACAGCCTGAGCAACAGCAAGACCCTATCTCTACCAAAAATAGAAGAAATAAGTCGAGTGCAAGGAAGCTGAGGCAGGAGGATCACCTGAACCCAGGAATTGCAGTGAGCTATAATGAGGCTACTGCAGTCTATCCCACATGATAGAGAAAGACTCTTGTCTTAGGGGAAAAAAAGTTTATCTTGAATTTAATCATGAGAATACACCTAAACAAAGAAAGAGTATTCTAAGAAACCAGCCTGTACTCCACAGAAATGTCAATATTAAAAGACAAAAAAGGCAAATCAACTATCCTAAATTAAAGGAGGCTGTAGAAACCTGATAACAAATGAAGTGAGCTATCAAAAAGTATATGAAGCTTGATGGAACCCTCCTTCCTGAGATAACTAACTATAAAGAACATTTTTGGTATAATCAGGAAAATCTGCATATTGCCTATATACTAGAAAACATTACTAAATCAACTTTAATTTCCTGGGTGAGATAATGCTCACTATTATGAGAACCTACAGCAAGCTACACACACACACA